CATTCTTCTGGCAGTCCGTGGTGCTCAAAATATACTTGGTGTTGTTTTGAAATTGGGGGCTATTTCTTAAAAATCAGAGAAAGCAAAACAACCCATTTGTCTCATTTGATGACCACAGGGGTTGTATTGTCAGTGTCCACTTTAGATGGTAACAGACACCTGCTCTATCTAAACAAATAGATTTTTCTCCCCTAACATTCATAAGTCATTGAACATCCACATAACCTTGCATCATACATTTTTAGATACATGATGCATGCTCTCAATTTCGCCAGTTGCCCAGTAATTAGAATACAAAATGTCAGCTTTCTACATCCTACACTAACTTCCATGAGCAGAGACACGTGTTGAACCAAGTGTGTACCGCGTTTCTGATAGTGAGTGCATAGAAATGCGCTGAAATAAGACTCAAATGCGATGCCTTAGGTTGGAAGTACGACCTTAGACTTGTCTTGTCAAAGTTAGCAGTCAGTCAGGGGTATGACAGGGATGTTGGTTGAGGGGACTAGGAAGTGAACCGGAGGTTTGCAAATTGCCTGGACCCTTAGAATCCTAGCAGCAGGGGTCATTTGAATTCCCGACACAGGGAAGAGGAAGGAGAAGATAGTTGTTAGGGAGCCCTGAGCAAGCTGAGGGGGTAAGAATTGAGCCTCTTAACGTCACAGGTGGCAACAGTCACTTGAACCTGGAGGCAGAGAAGTGGAAGGAAAAAAAATTGCATATTCATATCAACCAAACCCGTTGCTTTTGAGTTGATTCTGACCCATGGAGACCCTGTGTGTCACAGTAGAACTGCACTCCATAGTGTCCTGCAAGCGTGCAGAAGTAACTTCCAAGGCACCTCCATGTGGACTCAAACTGCCAACTTTCTGGTGAGCAGGTGAGTGTGTTAAGCGTTTCTATTGCCCAGCTGTCCCTCATCACCCACCACCATTTGCATCTAGATGTGCCCCTGCTTATTTGGAAAGACATGGTTTAGAGGTTGGTGCTGAGGTTGGTGCTCAGGTGGCACAGTGGTTAAAAGCACTCACCTGCTAACCTAAAGGTCAGTTATTCAAACCCACCAGCCACATGGCGGGAGGAAGATGGGGCAGCCTCCTCCTGTAAAGACTGACAGCCTTGGAAACCCTGTGGGGCAGTTCCACTCTGTCCTCTAGGGGCGCTGTGGGTCAGAATACACTCCAGGCAGTGGGTGGGGTTTGGGCTTTGTTTCTGTGAAGACTGACAGCCTTGGAGACCCTGTGGTGCAGTTCCACTCTGTCCTCTAGGGGCGCTGTGGGTCAGAACAGACTTCACGGCAGTGGGTTTTTATATCCAGAAAACCCTGCGGAGGGCCGTTCCAGTCTGAGATACACAGAGCACCACGCGTCAGGGTCCACCTAACGGCCATCGGTTTGCTCTTTGGTTTTCTGAAACCTTTATTAATTCAGGCATAATTTAATCAACCACAAGGCAGGAGAGAGCTACAGGACGATGGGTGGTGGAACCAGTCATAAACCCAAGTGGTGCAATTTGGGAACTGCCTTCCAAGGGTGGACAGCAACCCCCACCGGTTCCTTCTCTACAGTGACGTGTCAACTGAACTCCCTCCCAAGTGCCACGGAACCAGGCAACGTGGTGGCCTTCAGCCGCCCCTCCACGCCCACCTGCGCCCACCTGCTCCCAGAGGTACCCTCTCGGCTTCCCAGTCCCAAACATTCTGGAAGCAGAAAGACAGAAATAAGGCAGACCACCTACAAAAAGAGATCGGATGCGTAATTATTTGCACAAAGCTTTAGAAAATACTGTGATATTTTATTATTAAAAATGGTGCTGAAAATTTATACATATGTGTCCAGCCATATATATGTTCTAACATTACTTAAGGCAAAATCAAAAACAAAATAGCAAAATAATAACCCAAGAAACCATTAAACCCTGCGTGCCTTTAAAGGTCAAGAATAAAAGCCTAGGAAAGTTTTTTTTTTCTTTTTTTTCCCCATTTTTTTTCCTTTTTTTTTTTTTTTTAACAGATAGCAAGTATATTTTATTCTCATAGAACTCTATGAACACTCTAGAACTTCTTCCCATGTAGAAATAAGATATCATTTAAGATGTATTAAATCGCTTTTGATCATCATCTTCTGTAAAAGCTAAAGTTATTCACGTCACAGGAACGGGTTTTTCTTTTTTTCCTTATCCGAACGTCACAAGCCTGACGCATCATTGTACGTATTGCTAGCAGGTGCACGACTGGGAATACTATACAAATATGGGGAATCACGTTACAAACAGACTGAACCGACACCGATGTGGAGTTTGACTTCTGATGTTTCACCGAGAGCCGTGTTTGCTGTGGGCCAGCTGGGCTAAGATACAGCTTGCAAAAAATTTTCCTGTTGGTAGTTTTCCATCTGGGATGATTCTGGGGACACCATCGAATCCGGGCTGTCTCTGCTTTTGCTGTGGGCTAGGTCACCACTGTCCCATTTCACAATCGGTATTTACAGAGATTCTCAACTGTTAAATCTAAAGAAAGGTCAGAGTGACTACCTAATTTGGAGGACTTGCTAAGAATTTTCTTTGCCTAGAGGGGATTTTTAAAAGACTTGTACACATGGCGACAGTTTTCAGGAATTCCTTATCAATGCTTGTTTATAGGTAGGACAGGTAGTGGACAGATCTAGTACCAATGAAGCCAGGGTTTCAAGAAAAACCACCATCAAACCCAGAGATTTAATCTTCAAGTATCTTTGGTCACTATTTCTTGGCGACAGTCATTTTTGAAAGACAACATAGCAAGTAACCATTATTAATATATATATATATATATATATATATATATATATGTTGTTGTTTGCCATTGAGTCGGCCCCGACTCACAGCGACCCCTCCTTGGGATTCCGAGGCAGTATCACTACGGAAGTAGGATTGCCCAACCTTCCTTCCAAGGAGTGGCTGGTGGATTTGAACCGCCAGCCTTCTGGTTAGCAGTCAAGTGTCTTAGGCACTATGCTACCAGAACTCTCATATATGTTTTCCTTCCTTTGATTTGCTCAAATTATTCTTAAGAAAATTAAAAAGAAAACAAGAACTCGACAAGGTGTTTGAGGGACACACCTCTATCTCTAGTTTAAGAATTTAAAATGGGTGAATCATTTCTTTATATGCTTTTGAGCAAGCCAGACTCACTGCTGTTGAGTTCATTCCAAACCACAGCTACTCATGTGGACAAGGGCAGAACTGTCACTGAGCGGTGTCTGGCTGTGATCGTTGGAGAAGCAGCTCGCAAGTCGTCCTGGGCGATACACACGCTGAAGCACTTAGTCGCTAAGGAAAAGGTTCAGGCATCCACAGGTGCCTTGGAAGAAAGACCCGGTGATCTATTCTGAAAAGACTGCGGGCATCGCGGACCCTGATGGGTCTTCTTTTCCACTCTGTAACACATGGTGTCACCATGACTCAGAACTGACTGCAAAGCAGCGAGGTCTGGATGGGGCTAGCTGTGCACACATTTCAGTGTCTGCCGCTCACCAGAACGACTGCCTGCATCCACCCAGACGTGCCTCGGAAGGCAAAGGACTTCCAAAAAACTCAGCCACAGGAAACCCTACTGAGCACAGTTCTGCTCTGACCCACATGGAGTAGCTGCAAGTCACAATCAACTCAATGGAAATTTCACTGTGTTTTTTTTTTTTTTTTTTTTTCCTTTTTCCTTGACTGCGAAGCTATCCAACTTCCCCCCAAACCCATGCAGATTGCAGTCAATATATATATATATTTCTTCTTCTTCTTTTTGCTGGGATATGTATGGATTGGCGACTGCTACAGCAATCCACAAAAGAGTCCTCTTTTCAGAAAAGCATGTGTTCTCCCATAAATGATACGAAGAATTTAAAACAAAAAGAAAAACACACAACAACCTGCTTATGGATCAGTAAGGAATGGAGAGCTGGGAGAGAAAGGAAAGACTAACGCCCTCCTTCAATGTGACGGGCCAAGCAAAGCAGATAGAAAGTAAGCCAAAGCCTTTTGCAGCTGTCGGGGCACACAGAGGTGAATTGAGGAGGCTGGACGCAGTTGACGAAAGGCAACCTTTCTTTCCTTTTGGCAGGGCTCTGTGCTGAAAGGAACCTTCCTCAACAGACTCAAAGAACCAGAACTACAGAATTATTATGATCTTTGAATTTCCCCTAATGGTTCCGTTTGTGCATGTCTCTCATTCAACAAGCTTTAAATAGATTCCACGTTGCGGACCCAAGTTTGTGTTGCAGCTCTATGAAGAAGGCTAACACATAAAAACAAGGTCTCCTGAAGCCACGCTCTCCTAAGGAGGCCATCACATGCACTGATGAAGCGTGAATGAAGAAATGCACAGGTCACACCGAAGGCCTGGGGGCTTCCGTGTGATGTCGTGTCCTCCTACAAGTGGGATGTGTTAGAAAGCCCTATGTCTTTGTGTATCACAAGTGAGTAACAAGAAGAGTCTCTTTTGTCTGGGAATAGACCAAGAGGAGGTGATCCATGTATATATATTTATATACATACATAGTACAACCAGGAATACAATCTCGCTAAAACCTCTTTCAAACGAAAAACATCAAGAAAAGCTTTTTTTTTTTTTTTTTTTTTGATGTGTGTATCTCGTATGTTTAAACTCACAGCTATGTACATTTTTATTTTTACAAAGTTTCTTAAATATAGTTCAGGTTGGCAAAACGTCGCTTTGCACAGAACTATATGGATTTTAGTGCATGGTCCGAGTTCTTTCATTTTGTCAGGATAAAATGCTGCTTCTCCGTCATCTGGGATTGCAGTTCCATATGCCCACATACTCCTTCTCCACCCATACAGAGCCATCCGTCATATGGCACTTAAAGAACTTATTATTTTTCCATTTTGATTAAAAAAAAAAAAAATTATTTATTTATCTTAAGTGTCCCTGGGTGAGTTCAAGACATGTCTGCTGATAGTGTTACATTTGGAGGGATCTCCAGGTCCTGGCCATGGTGACGTCTTAGTCACACTCAGCATCCGTTGGGGTTGGATATTTTAATGCAGTGTCATCAAAGTAATGGATACTTTTCACATTTCATAGGATTGGAAGTTGATCTTGGAATACTGGGAAATTCCCAAGGGTAAGGTCAGCAGGGACATAAGGACTGTCCTTCCTAGTGTTTGTCCTAAGTCAATGTGATGGAAAACATTCCATGGTTGGAGACGTCCCCTCTCTCTTCCTCTACGTCTTCTAGGTGGCGGACAGGGTGCAGCGGAGGGAGGGGTGAGAACCTCAAAGCTATACTCTGGTGGTCGAATGCCCGTGGGGTATATTTGTACTGTTCTGTCCTCCACTGAAGGTGTTGAACGTGTGCAAGGGCTGCATTCCTGACAGAGTGTTAGGGATCATGGTGATGGTGTTAGGTGTCATAAGTGGGATATCATCGGGAGAGCGGCGCAGCGTGAGTGTGTAGTCCGGTGGGCAGGTGAGCCTCAGGGTGTCATGAGCCTGCAAGGACTCACACTCATGGTCATGCTCTAGCTGTTTCATCTGCAGAGACATGATCTCTTCATTCTGAATGTGAGCGATATCGTTGGTGGTGTTTCTCTGGGGACTGGGGCGTCTGTGTGTCTCGTGACGCCTCTTGTCCTTTTTGTAGTACAGGGCGGCAAACGCTAAGATGTTGAGGAAAAGCAAGGACGCCCCCACGGCAATGGTGACGCTCAATTCGGTGGAGTAATCCCGCTTGGTTTCAATGAGGACCGTTGTATCTTCAGGCCCCGTTTTATGTGGGTCTTTCGAGTGTTTGGGGTTGTTAGCAGGCGTTATCGCCGGGCGTTTGGTCGTAGGCCATATCTTTGCAGGAGATCGCCGGGTCCCATAGGGGAAGGACGTCATGTCAGGTGGAGGAACCTTTGTGGTGGTTGAGACGTACTGAAATATCTCGTTGAGGTTGTGCAGATGAGGGACCAGTTCCAACCAGAAAGCCACTTTTGTTGCCCGGTAGTGATCCCTCACCCTGGGTTTCAAGCCAATGTGTAGATACAGCTGGTCTTTGGGGTTGTACTTGGACCAGGCCACTTCCTCAAAGCGGTTGGGTTTTGTGTGAATGAACTTGGTGTCCTGGGGAACCGGCTGATTAGGATCACTGGGGACAGAAGAAAGAAAGGAAAAAAAGTCATCCTCTTCCATAGAGAACAAAACAAAAACACAAGACGTCATAATCAGTTAATTGCTTATCTGTACTGACGAGCGTGAGAGGCCCTGGTGGCACAACAGTTAGCACTCAGCTGCGAAGCCAAAGGTTAGCAGTTCGAACCCATCTGATAGCTCCACAGAGGAAAGACCTAGTGACCTAGTCCTGTAAATATGGCCGCCCAGAAAACTCTATGGGGCAGTTCAATTTTGTCACATGGGGTCGATGTAAGTTAGGATTGACTGGACAGCACACAACAATGACAATCTTTACGGAAGCAGGTTGTCATATCTTTGTTCTGTGGTGCCAATGGCTAGTTCACATTGCCAACCTCTTGGTTACTAGCCTACCATGGACCCATTAGTACCACATACAGTCCATGGAAATGGGGGGTTTAGATATATGTTGAATAAACATGCGTGACTTTGAATTTAAACTATTCTACTCTATGTAACGGGGAGCTCTGGTGGCGCAGTGCCTAAAGCATTGGATTGCTAACCAGAAGGCTGGTGGCTCAAATTCACCAGCCACTCCTTGGAAGGAAGGTTGGGCAATCTACTTCCGTAGTGATACTGCCTCGGAAACCCAAGGAGGGGTCGCT